GGTGCCACCTTCTGCAGGTGAGTCAGCAGCTCTCCCTCCCCCCCCCCAGTGCCCCCCCCGCGCAGCACTAGCCCCGGCCCCGGGCCGACAACAGTCAGGCCGACCTTCGGTGAGCACCCCCAAGGGATTCCCCGAGCCCAGATGCCCCCCTCCCTCAACGCTTCCCTCCTGATGGCCCCAACTTTCACTGAGGCTCGCCCTGCCCCCGGCGGCCCCTCACAGATCGACGTCCCCGCCCTGCCCCCCATCTCCCCTCCCCCCGTTCCAAAGGGCCGCTCCGCCCCCTGCGGCCCCTCACGGATCGTCGCCCTGGGCCCGCTACCCACCTTGCTCTTCACTTCCATGGTGCCGAGGCCCCGGCTACCCCCAGCGCTGCGGTGGGTCCGGTTCATGCCGCCAGACGGTCTGTGTCCCCGGGCGCGCTGTGGGGGGAGGTGGAGAACCCGGGCAGTTCCGAGCCCAGCCTCCCAGCCACAACCTGCCGCCGCCTCCTCCTCACACACACACACCCAGGAGGGGGGAGGAGCCGCCCCACAGAACGCCGAGCTGCGCCTGGCACCTGCCGCTCCCGGGAGAGGGCTGGGGGGCAGGTAGCGCATGCGCGCCGAGTACTCACAGAAGGGAGGGGGAGTCTCGGTGCACCTGCAGCGAGCGCGCATGCGTACCTGTCGCCCCGCGAGCGAGAAGGAAAGAAAGCGTAGGCGCACCTGCAGCCAGCGCGCGTGCGTCCAACGTGAGCACCTGCTCGGCTACTTTCCAAAGTGGAAGGCGCACGCGCGGCTGCGAACGCGAGGCAGGGGGTTGGGAGGTGTCAGTACCCTATTACTACTGGCCTGAGGTTATTGTAGGCAAAGACCCACTCTCAGAACTGGTATTGTGGGGGGATACAGCACACCGCATTGCAGAGGCACAGTAAGCCCCCGGTGCTGGGATTGCGGGGGCACAGTACACTACCCAGTACTGGGATTAAAGAAGGACTCACCCCCACAATTCTGGGATTATGAGGGCCTCAGTGCATCACCTATAGAGGGATTATGGGGGAGTCAAAGTGCCCCCATGAGGCTGGGAATATGTGGATGGGGACAGAATACACCTCCTCTTGGTGCTGTGAGACCGTGTTCGAGGAAATAAGGGTGCTGTAGTATCCTACCAAAGATCAGGACTGGCTTCAACTACAAATAAAGATAATCAGCTTTGCGAGGCCCTTCATTTTTAGGGATCCCTGCACATCGTTTTCTGGAGTTTATGTCCAGAAAGGGCCATAAAATCATCTAAATCATTATGTCCAAAAAGGACTATTAAATCATCACCATTAAATCCCGCACAACAGAAGCCATCAAATTTCACTCAAATATCTGTGTTGGGCCCAATGACTTCAGTCAAACTAAACCATTTCAATCCTTAGAAAAATAGACTGTCTTGTGCCACAGGTCGAGAACAGGATGCTGCCAATGCCCTGAGAGGCCCATGCAGTGCGGGGAATTGATTAGGTGAGACATGCCAAGATGATCCTAGGAAGTGATCCATGCCCCATGCTGCAGCGGAAGGTGGAAAACTCCCAAAAT